GGTACGTTAGATTCATTTATTTCCCAGGAAAACAATGCTGCTACTTTGACTCCCAAAAGCCTATCCACACATAGTGTAGAGAAAGGGCCTTTGGAAGAGTTCTGGTGGTGTGACTATGTCAATAGGAACTGAGCTTTCTGCAGCTGCCCCTGCAACAATTTTACAAGATGGCACAGAGTAATAAAAGCTGTTTCATGCTACAAGAACAAGTTACAAGAAAAAAGAAATACTCTTGGGGGAAGAAGGAGGTTAACAGTTAAATTCGGGACATGCTTAAAGTGACATTAAACCCTCAGATTTTTTAACATAAACAAATACTGTAATGTGTGCCTTACTGTAATCCATGGTTGTTTCCCTTCTCTTTGCTGCTCTTCCTTTTAAATCCTCATGTCTTCTCATGCTTGGGGAGAACTTCCCTTTTCAGCTTCCTGTAGTGCTGGCTCAGATTACAAGCCTATACAAATGGATACACAGGCACCGTGTATCCATTCCTTAGACAAGGCAGTCTGCTGCAAAACAGAAGTTCTGCCCAGCATGAGAACAGATATAGATTTAAAGGGAAGAGCAGCAAAGAGAAGGAAAACAACCATGGATTACAGTAAGGCGCACATTACAGTATTGTTTTATGTTAAAAAATCTGAGGGTTTGATGTCACTTTAAGTATACCCTTTAATTAGCATTTTATTGTTTTACTGAATCTGAATGTAGCAAATAGTGCACAGGGCTTGCAAAGGATTCATTTCATATGAAACACTAAAATCTCTTCACGGATTGATCAAGGCAGTAAAACAGAAAAAAAAAATCAACTCCAAATCATCCAAATACAGTGGGACGGTATACAGTATATATAGGCGTTTCTGAATGTTATATGTTGCTTTAGGTATAAATAGTCCTTTTTTATAGTCCCTCCTCCGCTCACTTCACAAAGGAATATAAGAAATGCACAATCACACATTTTTTCTTTTGCCCTGGCAACTGCTTCCCTCCCCCCATGTACACAGGGCTTCTGCACAATGTGCGTGCCGGGGATTTAAAATAGGATTGTCTGGGCCTCAGCAACCTCGGAATGTAGGATATGTTTGTGTTGCACAGTCCAAAATATAATCACGCATTCATACGTTATATTAAGGGTGCATTCACGCTCAAATTGGAAGGTACCTACAAGTCAACGGAGGGTTTGTTGACTTGCGATGGTACCTTCCAATTTTCTATCTGCCGATCTGTTACCATCTCCGCATACCATCTCCTTTATTTTCTTTCTTTCTTTTTTAACAAGGTTTCTGTGAAGTAGCATGTCCCGAGTTGACGTACTTCACTGTAATGGCTTGCGAAGCATTGTGATGCACTGAAAAAAAGCGGGGCATGCTATGCAATGGTATTTTGAGAGCCAGCAGGGCTCACTAGCAAGATACTGAAGCTTGGCCCAGAGGGAGATTCTTTCATCCACACAGTTTAGCGTAGATGGAGCAATCTGTTGTACTTTTTCCATTTGACCATATAAAATCTGCAGATAATCTATCGGTGTATGGCCAGCTTTAGCGATATCTTCATAAATCATCAGTTGGGAGAACTGGGAACATGAATGGCAATGAGTGATCAGGCATCTTTGTCATTACCACAGTCTTCCTATAAATAAACTAGAAAATATGTAAAGCTGACCACACACACACCAGTCTTATTCTACCATCCCCTTTAGGTTTACCAACAGCTATGGGGATCTACATATATACTTGGGATAGATTGTTTAAGTAGATCCTCTCTGCATGGCCGTTGGTAAATATAAATGATATTTATGGAGACTGCAGAATTAAAGTGTAACATGTGACCAGCTTAAAGTTTTTATTTTTAAAGGGTATACTGGAAAGGCATCAAACCTGCATGCTGGAATTCTAGGTCCCTGTGATAGATTACAACTTCAATACAAATGAGTAAACTAAACATGACGGGAGCAAGCTTGGAGTGTTGGCTGCTTTACAACACACACAGGGACCCCCTCCAGAAGGAAGGACAGTTTCGGCACCAATTCAGAGATGATTTGAGGATCTACAGCTGAGTGATACACAAATAAGATACATTTTTGTTAATACTTAAGGTACTTGAATGCATTTTTAAGAATAAACTCCTGAGTTTAGTGTCACTTTACCACCTAAAAATGCTCTACCGCCATATACAGTAAGTATCTTATCTTGTGCTATCATAAGTCAATAAATGATCAAGCAGCCCTTAGTGCAAAAGTATTTCTAGTGATCTCTCAGATAAGAGTCTGCTGTTAATAAATCAAATAGTTGGGGCTTTGAAATGTGATTAAGTACAAAACAGACCACGTGCAGGTTTGAAGTACAGACTGGAAATGGGCACAACTTGTGCCTTTTATATAGTGTATCACAGCAACGTTCACTGGCCAGTGCAATGTAAGATGAAATCTATTTACTGAGTGAGTCCTGTTTCTGTTTCAAAAGTAGCAAAGCATGGCCACTGAGCTGTCGTCCTAGACATATGCATGTCCAATGAACAAACAGGCCTACTACCATGTGTTGTACAAACAAATGCTTATGGGTTAAAGGTTAGGGGTTAGGTTGAGGTTTGGGTTAGGTATTTAAGGGTCATGCAGGACAAAGCAAAAGGTTCATTTTAATGCTGGACCTTGCAGTTGCTTATACTTACCTTCTCTGGTGATCTGTTCACCTGCAGAAGCAAGGAGAAGAACCACGTGTAAGCTCCAGCTGGACCCTCCACGCTTGCACAGGGCCGATGACTCTGTCCCTGCCTACATCTGAATGCAATGGGTGTCTCAGCAGTCTCCAAGCACAAGGTTTATCACGTGGGAGGAAGGGGAGTCAGTCACAAGATCCCCATACCTGGAAGTACCAGGTATGTCTCTACGTTCAGCCAGGTGCCTGGAGCAGCAGGAAGAGAGAGGAGATGAAGAATGCAACCTTTCCTCCCCTCCTCCATTCATGGAACACCTTTAATTTATGTAAGGATACAAGGCTTTTTTTTTATAAGTGGGTGATTAGGGGGCAGGGATGTGACTAGAGCCCTTCACTGCCATATCTTCTGCTCTCCTCCCTGCAGTACCTGGAAATCCAGAGCTGTGTGTAGGAGACGGGTTATAACAAGGTATGATTTTTATACTAAGCAGCAGCCTTCCACACACAACATACATAATATTAGGGCTATCTTAGTTAGCAAGTGCGGCATATAAAATTAACAAATGTTCCGGAGTTCAGTTTTAAGGTGCTCATACACTCCTCGATTTTCGTTCGGAAATCATCCACGAATGGCCTTTCGAATGATAATCGACCAGTAGATGGGACACCAACTATTTTTTTTACTGTAATCCCCCTAGAATTTTCCCGAAGGATCAGGCTGGAAAACTTTTTCGAATCGAGCGAAAAATTGATGGATTAGTGGCATTTTCATAAGAAAAAAAAAAACATTGCAGCAAGAACACTGCACACACACAAGCAAAAATCTGTTCTGTCAATCGACAAAATTTGGTGAGATTCTCGAAATCGACATTGGTCTGTGCATGATGGGCTATTTGTGCTAGAATAGAAAGTGAGTTCTTGGCAGCAACGAAAATTTCCGATCGAAAATCTATAGGTGTATGGCCAGCTTTAAAATTAGCATCCAGCACCAATTAATTCTCTTTGATCAGATATTAGGAGTACATCTGCTTTTTTATTCTTTAATTTTAAAGTCACTGTCATGACCTTGTCTTTATTTGTAGATGTAATTTAGCAATTTTGAGTAACCCCACTTCTTCTTTGTCTACACATTACGCATTAGAAAGTCAGTGGACAAGAAGTACTAAAGGTTGGACATAAATGACATAGCACACAAAGTAACATGTGTTCGAATGATCAGGAACACTTGAATTGTAGGCCATCAGCAGGCCATTGCTTAAATCAGAAGCTTTTACCAAGCTGCCTCCTTTACCACCAACAATAAAATTGCTGTTCAATTAGAAACACCCCTTCTTGATTTTGGTTGTGTAAGGGTACCTCTCGTATCAGACATTTCGGGCCGCGGGCCGGCCTCTCGATACAGCGGCATGACGTCACTAGGAGACGCGGCCGCCGCTCGTGACTCCGCCCACCTCAACAGTCCGATCCCCTTATAAGGAAACGAGTTGCACTACCTCGGCGTTCTAGTATTGCTAACGCCGAGCCATTGCAACTCGCCAGCGAACCACCACTACAAGGACCTTCCTCCTAAGAGACAAACCTCGTGGAACAAGTCGGAAGTACCTTTCTTATTCTGGACAAACGGTCCTGCGGGATCTACTCCTTCATTCCTGGACTCTTGTTGCGCCTCTGATCTGGTTATATCCAGTGGAAGTCAACCCTCCTAATCGCAAGTAAAACCTGCCTGATTCAAACTGTCTTTCTGTGTAATACAGCACTTCAAGGTGATTGTGCAACACTACTGCCATTCTAGGTTGAGTAACTGTATGTGGAGAGTTAGAGGTACTGCAACAAATCAGCTCGTATTCGGATCATTACCATTGCATAAAAGGGAATCTAGTTCGTATAGTTGTGTAACATAACTACTAACCTAACTTGATAGATCCGAACCATATCCTTCTGTATATATATACTTCAGAGTTCTGATTACCTGCACTTATACAAAGATTGGCATATGATGTTATAGAGGGTTCCACCATCACTCCAACCATACAGAGTGCAACCGTGAACCCTCGGGCTGAGTCTAATCTAAACCCGGTATATAATTAATCTCCGCAGCTGAGATCCACCGTCATAACCCGTCGGATCGTTACAGGTTGGTACATGATGTAGGGTCGTGATGCAATATGAGGCACTCGTGAGTCCCATCCCATGATTCATATTACCCTGATTGAGATAATTATGTATGTAGCAGGAATGCTATAATTAAATTAAAGGGAAACGCAAATGCCTGTGCAGCTGCAGTTGTCCTTTTCCTGGAAGTCCAACTTAGGCCAAAACATTTTTGTTTAGTTTTAGATAGAGTGGAGGGGGATTAGAACAACAGTCGGGTTTTTATTGCTCTCTGTGTACTCGCTATGGAGATTCACCCTCCTGGTGGCCGTCATCACTGACTGTGAAAGAGAATCAAAAATTTTGGGTTGTCTTCAGAACAGGAATAGATGGAAAATCTTCTATCGGGGACTCTAGTGCTGGTGACCCTGCTGACCACCAGGGATTTCCCTCTCTGTGGAGGGATTTCCTCCTACTTCCGGTTGTATCTATCATACAGGAAATTATGAGAAATCTCCCTAATGGGACACAGATGGCAAAAAAATCTGACTGGGGTTATAACTAGGGATGCACTGATACCGACACTAGTATCGGTGCCAATACCAAGTATTTGGGCGAATACTCATACTTGCACAAATGCTCCGATGCTTACCTCCTATACCAGAACTTCCAGTCAGAGGGAGATCTCCCTCTGACCGGCAGTGCAGAGGGAACATGGAGCCAGCTTCTTTTCCAATCAGAAAGCCGGGTCGTGGGTTATGTCCTGCAGAATGGACAGTGAAGGAGCAGTAGTCGACTGATAAGGTCTTCTTTCTGATCTCTCCCAATGCATATTTACACTGCAGCAGAGCCTAATTTGCTTAATGTACTTGTGCTCCCTGTCAAAGACTGAGCTCAGCTGTACAGGGAATTATCAAGATGGATTTGGGTACCGATTTTTGAATGAATATATTAAGCTACATTAATAGCTTGCAATGCCAGGCTGCTGTAAACAAAGCAAGCAGAGTACTGTCTTGTATTAAAAAGGGAAATGTACTGTAGAGACAAGTCTATAATTGTGCCACTTTATAAATCACTTGTTCGGCCTCATCTGGTGTAAGCGATCCAGTTTTGGTCACCAATCCACAGAAGGGATGTCCTTGAGCTGGAAAGAGTACAAAGGAGGGCAACCAAACTAATTAAGGGGATGAAGGACCAAAGCTATGAGACAAGGTTACTAAATTTAAACATGTTCACGCTGGAAGTGAGGAGATCAAGGGGGATATGATTTTCATGTACAAGATGTTCAATGGTGATAGCAACATCAGCACAAGGGGCGTAGGGGTTCTTCTCAGTTAGAGCGGTTAGGGTCTGGAACTCGCTGCCAAAAGCAGTGATTTCAGCTAAGAGTTTTGAATCATTCAAAAAGCATTTGGACGATTTCCTCAGAGGCCGTAACGTACAGGGGTACAGGTACACTTAAGAACAGGATCACGCAGGGACTCATACACACGCAAACACATGCAGAATCACATGCATACACGCAATAGGTTGGACTTGATGGACCTGTGTCTTTATTCAACCTCAAATACTATGTAACTATGTAACATAATTGCATTAAACGTTGTTTTGTATATTTGCCATAGATCTTTAACAGTCATAGTTTGTAGCCTAGCTGGGAATCCACCCCAAGAGATACACAATGATCAAATCATAAATGCCCATACATGAATTACAGTTTACCAGTAACACTACTTAAAGTAGAATTGACTTTCAGTAATAACGGTCACCAGGACAAATAGAGAGGGTGGATCATCCTAATGGGGACACAGACAGCCAGGGCCATCCCTACCTGGCGAGGTCAGGAGAAGGGGGGAAGGGTGGGTAAATGCGGTCCAGGCAAGTGGCGATGTCCAACCAAGCTGTCAGCCGGGCAGGAGGTGGCGGAGGTGTCAGCCAGGCGGGAGGTAGGGGGCAGCAGAGCTGTCAGCTGGGTGCAAGGTAAGGGGTGGCAGAGCTGTCAGCCTGGCAGGAGGTGGCTGAGCTGTCAGCCGGGTGGGAGGTAGCGGGTGGCCAAACTGTCACCTGGGGGGAATTCTCTTACTCGCCTGTGCCGCCCACCCCACACCTGCCCCCCCCGCCAATGAGATGCCACCTGAGGCTTCCACCTCAGGCTGCCTCATTATGGGGATGCCCCTGCAGAAAGCAAAAAAGAAGTGACAGGGATTCTAAATTAATTTTAGACTGTAAGCCCTCATGGGCAGGGCCCTCCTTACCATCTTGTCTTGATTTGTATTGTAACTAATGTCCTCCTCATATTTAATGAGCTGCACAAACTGTTAGCACTATATAAATCCTGTATCATATTCCTCTCCACTCTATCCAAAACTAAGAGTTATTTTGGCTTCAACAGCACTTTAAAACTGCTGGAAAGTATCGTGCCTTGCAAAAATATTCAAGAAAAAATAAAAAGCTAGTTGCACTCCTTACCGGTATGACCTCGTGATCGGGGAGGGGTGCTTGGAATGACTGCGGTTGGCACCGCCAAATACAGATAATTGCAGAAACGTCACCAGCACACCAAATCCTTATAGGATCAAAATTTGTGGATTTATTGCAAAATCATGTCAGTTACACAAGCGCTTTTGGGGCCACACAGGGTCCCTTCATCAGGCATAGCAACCGCTATGCCTGATGAAGGGACCCTGTGTAGCCCCGAAAGCGCTTGTGTAACCGAAAGCACTTGTGTAACTAATTTGCAAAAGTATTCCCCCCCTTGGTGTTTTTCCCATTTTATTAAATAAAAATGATTTTGCACCTACACAGTGGTATGCATGTTGTGTACATCACAAGGTACAAACACTCCAAAAATTCATTGTAAATCCTGGCTGTAATGCAATAAAAATGTCTAATGCGGCACAGCTCTGTCCAGTGTGCTGTCTCTGCATGTTACGCTGTGTATAATCAATTCTTTTGTTAGCTGTATATTCAGATGACTCTCTGGGGTCTGGGCTGTTACTGTCATATGATTTCACTTTAGATTTAACTATCTCCTTACTATGTTGAATAATCTTCTAAATACATTGCAAAGGGTTATAAAATACAATGTTTGCTTTGTGTCACCATCACTATCGTACACCAAAAGCATTCTTATGTGGTGTCTAATGCCCCCACTTAGAGCAACAAGCAGAACCCTCTGCAAGGACCACAATATGCAATGCTCAGCTCAGTGGCTTCAGAAGGCTCGAAACTTGGTCCAGCTTGGGAGGCTGCACTTCCGGAGATTAATTACACACACCACTGATTTCAAAAGACCTACATCCCCACGCGTAAATCATTTAAAAACCTACTCCATGACTAATTTAGAAGCAAGCAAAATGAATCTGGGTGGTTGTTTGCTCACTCACAGTTTCATTGCTCATCTTTTACAGTTAAAATCCTAAAGCAGGTAATCAGCAATTACTAACAAAAGAAAAATCTGACCTGGCACAATTTACAAACACCTCAATAGCCTCATTTCTCGGCATATCCCATTTGGCCGACCTGGTCAACTCATTGATAGCTGTAGGAATCTAAAGATATGTACTATTATACTATGATCCTGTTTATTTTATAATAAATCAATGTGTAAGACCACAGTCACCAATATATAGATCAATAACAATGTATCTTTCGCTGATTTGACTCCTGTAAAGAGACTTCAGGTGGCTTTGGGGTTAAGGTGCCTAACACGCCATCGATTGCATTGTACTGCTTAATTTCATAATGAATTTAATGAAATTCCTTAACAGTACAGATTAGCCATGCAAATATAGCAAGGGATATAGAGACAAAACAGGTTTAATAAGTCAGGAACTATGTAGACTGCTTTGAAGGTGAGAGAGATAAGCACAGATTATAAGACATGCGTAGATATAATGCAGCAAAACACTGAATCTCAGCAGATTTCAACGATACAGGCTTTTGTACTCACTGTGTTCAGAGCCTATTGCTTAATGTGGCTGGGAAGCTGACAGAAGGATACAAGCTGTGTGGGATCAGTAGAGAAATGAATGGGTGTGGGGAGACTAAGGGATGAAGGATGAGTAGGGTGGAACTACAGCTCATGACGAGCAGCTCACGGGAGAATAGAGAGGAGGATCTTTAGAGAATGGAGGTCATACAAAGGGGTACTTGGAAGGAAATAGTGAACCTGCATTGAAAGATTTAATAGGGTTGATCAGAAATGCTGAACAAAGTAGTCTGCTTGGATGCTGATGTATTTTTTTAACCTTGTCTACCGGTGTGTAACATGTTGTGCCCATGATCCAGATGAAAACCCTTCCCCCGGAACAACCG